AAGTCTTTTTGATACAAGATACACCTCCAACCCAGATCATCATTTCAGCCTACTGTAGGCCTCACAATTAAAGCTTAATTCCCTTTGAGGACATTGAAGAGATGAATTGCTGCTACCTATTTACACACTGCAAACAAGGGATCTACTTATGGTTTAGCCTTATAGATCTACGGAGTTTCTAAAGATATGGACAAAAACATGGGCTGCAATTACTTTCTTTTACTGCTCATAATCCATTAAAGAAAGAAAAATCCAACACACAGAAAGCAACAACTAAACCCAACCGACTAAGCTAATATCGCAAGTATATATACAATCGACACACACAAGCTCTATTACCATGCGAAATAAAATATATAATAGATAGAACGGCACTTCCCTTAATAGGACAAATCTACCCAGAAGATCTCCTCTTGTCTTCTACATGCAAAGTATGTAAAATATTGGGTAGTTCTATTAAGAAAAAAGTAAATACAACATAGTGTAAAATGTACACAAAACACTGCTCATACGCAGGCTCTAATTGGCAACTCACTATTTTCCAGTAAAAAAGGTTGCCTATTCAGATAATCTTTATCCAGGAGCTCCACTTTCTGATCTCAAATGAAGCTTTGATTTTGATGTCCCAAAATGCAATACCATAAAAAGATAAATTGCTAAGTGTGAACCAGGGAAAAGTAGAGTATAAAAAGGAATTCTTTATTACTTACATTTAAGATAAAAACAGCAAATATCAATAGTCCTACGCGTTTCGTCACCTTCCAGGACTTCCTCAGGTTCTTTGCCCTGGTTCACACTTTGCACTTTATCTTTTTATGGGACATCAAAACGAAAGCTTAATTTTAAATCAGAAAGTGGAGCTTCTGGATAACGATTATCTGAAAAGCACCTTTTTTACTGGAATATAGTGAGTTGCCAATTGGAGCCTGCGTATGAGCAGCAACTAAACTAATGCCAGGTTAAATAATTTTCTGTTTATTATTGTTATTATTATTATTATTATTATTATTATGTGTCTTGTGCATATGGACCCCCATCTGATCTGCTTACAACCACTTCCCTTATCATTCTAAAATCAGTTACTTTCTATTTCAGCAAATATGTAAGAGACCAGAAAATATCCATGGATGAAAGTCTCAGGTCATCGTTATGGAATGTCGTTTGGAATTTGCAAATAGTAAATTCTTGGAGATTTTTTGTGAGACTGTCTTAATTGAGTAGACTACAAATAAGACTGAAAATGGTAAAAAGATCATTAGAACAGAAGCCAATCTATTGATTAAATACCACTTCACACTGTTCAATAGTTCAATATTGTATATGTGTTTAAATGACAGAAAAACAGTTTCTCTATAAAAATAAAAATAAAGGAAATCAATGAAAAAAAAATGTTGCAACTAAAATGTTTTTGTCAAATTATTTTGTACAGATTATTTTCTTGATGTTAAATTAAACAACACTTTGTTACATTTTAATAATCCCCTTTGACTTTTTGAAATTTTTATTTTATAGGTTAGCCCAGCGGATTCCAAACTGTGTGCCATGCGCTGGGATGTGCACACAGAGGTGCCGGGGAATGTTTCTCAATGCTATGATTGTAGCACCTGGGAAACATTACTGCTCAATAGGGATCCGGTCGAGTGCCGAGGTCCTTTAAGACCGCGAGCGGGCCCCTGTAATGTCGGACTGCTAGGGGCAGAGAGACAGAGCGGGAGGGAGAGGAGGCAGCCGCAGCGTGAGGGGAGAGGAGCACAAAGAGCTCCAGACCCCTTTGCTCCCCCCAGCAGGACCAGGACTCATCCTGGACACACAAGGTAAGCTAACAGGAGGGTGGCTGAGGATATAAAAAAAAACACTTGTGTATTAGTGTTTGTATGAGTTTGAGTGTGTGCGTAAGTGTGTGTATTAGTGTGAGTATGAGCGTGTGTATGTGTGTGAGTGTGAGTGTATGAGTATGTGTGCATGAGTGTATGTGTGTGTCAGGGTGTTTGTGAGTATGTATGTGTGTCAGGGTGTGCATCTGTGTGTGTGTGTGTGTATATATATATATATATATATATGTCAGTTTGCCTCAGTGTCTGTGTGTGTGCGCAAATCTTAGAATGTGCCTCTGTGTGTCAGGGTATGTGTTTTTATGTCAGTGTGTGTATCTGTGTCATGGTGTGGGCATGTATCAATGTTTGTGTGTGTCAGGGCGCATGTGTGTATGTGTCGATGTCTATATGAATTTGTGTGTATGTGTCGGTGTATTTATATGCATGTGTGTTTTAATGTGCATGAATATCTGTGTAAGTATGTATGTATGTTGTAGTGTATGTGCATACATCCAGTCAAACACTAGCACAACATACAAGCACACTCCTGCAATCTAACACAAATATTACATACAAACACACACCTTCACTCAAACACAAATACTTTGCACAAATGTACATCCACATTTAAAAGTGAACATTACATTCAGACACACCCCTGCACTCAAACATTACATACAAACACACCCCTGTATTAAAACACAATAACTATATACAAGCACCCCTTCAAACACCAACACTGTACATTACACTAAAGCGCCAGTAAATGCAGCAGCGCTGTACAGATACGCAACCTAGAAAAATACTGAAATATTAAGGACGCATTGAACCTAAAAGGTTTTGGATCCACTGGATTAGCCCATCAAATTGAGAGTTGCTACTAGCCCAGAGGGAACTTACTGAAAGTCTGTGTGCTTAGAAGATATCCCTTAGGGACAAGCATTGCTGCTGTGGTTTTTGGTCCTAAGAAGGGACTGACAGCGTAGCAGAACATATTCTGGGTCTCGAGCTATAATGCAGCCCTCTTTTTCCTGTTATAGTTGGTGGTTCCTCTTGTATATTGTCAAAAATAGTGTTATCTCCAAAATAAATTATTTTCCTGGCAAAAAAACACACATACAATTTCATACTAAATGAATGACTTATTCATTTTTTTCAACTATCTATGTATTTTTTTATATTAGTGTTTAATTCTCAACAATTCACACAATTCTTTGGTTTAATTAGCTTGTCTAAAATGTCTAATCTTGGTGTTAAACATCCATATTCAATCATATGATCTTAGTGCCTTTAATAATTACGCATAATGTTCTTTGTAAGAAGTTTCCATGATAGCAACATAATAGCCATAGCTGGGACCCTGCAGGGTGCACGGGTGGGTTGAGTAATATAAAATACATTACACTAACTCAAGCTATCAACATGACAAGAGATGTTTGATTTACACCAAACATGACATTACAGACTTCTGAAATTTGTTGCCATTTACTATAGATGACAGAACAGTGGGACAATCTTTAACTTGCTGAGAGCGATAATGTATCGCAAAGTTAGCAGTCACAAGAAGATCACTAATGAAGCATAATATTTTGGAACTAGGCAGTTGCTAGCAAGGGACTTTCGAAATAAAACACGACTCACTAATTTAAATACATTTACTTCTAGTGTAATATTACACAATAAAACTATACATATTTGATAAAGTGTAGTAACTGCGTTTAATGCATATTATTGCTAACACTATAGGACATGCATTGTCAAACATAATCACTAAAGAAATTATCAGAAATAATGAATTATGATGGTTGCAAATGAGTTGTTTTTGTTTGAAAAATATATTTTAAAAATGTTTTGGTCTGAACACTTTTTATAGTTTATGTTATAACGTGCAATACAATACAAAACGGAAATGATCTAGTATGTATTCATCTCCAGCTTCGGTAATAACAGCAGAATACAGAGGAACAAGAATGTTTATTCAAAAATAAAGTGGACAGAAGAACCTCAAATGACAATGTGCAAGACCCAGTAAAAGTGATAGTGTGAATATGGACATTTTATGTAGTTTATGAGAAGGAATGGTTTTGCCATTGATACTGATTTTGTGACCAGGTTTAGCAAGGCACACAAAATCTTCCCAAATGGCAGAAACTGATCATTCTAGGGAGCTGAGGTCAGTGGACCGTACAACCTCATACATAATCTCCGTAGTATCACACCCAGGGCCGGACTGGGAGAAAAATTCGGCCCGGGCATTTTTTTAACACAGCGGCCCACTAAAAAGGGGGCGGGGCAGAGGAGGTGTGTTTTGTCATCACCAATGACAAACATGCCTCCTCTCAAAGTGAGCATGTTGGTTCAATGCTCTTCTAGGGCAGACCATGCGCAGAGCTCTGCTGAAGAGCTCTAGCATGAGAAAAAAGTCCTGTATTTGTTCTGCACAGTGCAAGCAAATTTAATAACATGCTTGCACTGTGTTTCCTTGCAACTTGTCTCTGGTGTCTCTATAAATGGATACCAGGAGACAAAAGGCCAGGAAAGAGTATTGTGCATGTGTTTGGAGCCTGCTTGTGGTATTGCGTGTGTGTAGAGTGAGCTGGTCGTGGTGTGGTATTGTGTAATAAGGTTGGTTTTAGTCGTGTTGTGTTTGTGGTGTAATGTGATGCATATGTGGCTCAGGGACCCCCTCCCGCCCGGCTCTGGAAAGGGGTTAAAACTTACCTTTTTCCAGCGCCGGGCGGGGAGCTCTCCTCCTCCGATCCGCCCCGTCGGCTGAATGCGCACGCGCGGCAAGAGCTGCGCACGCATTCAGCCGGTCGCATAGGAAAGCATTTATAATGCTTTCCTATGGACGCTTGCGTGCTCTCACTGTGATTTTCACAGTGAAAAGCACGCAAGCGCCTCTAGCGGCTGTCAATGAGACAGCTGCTAGAGGCTTTGGGGGAAGGCTTAACCCATTGATAAACATAGCAGTTTCTCTGAAACAGTTATGTTTATAAAACAATGGGTTAACCCTAGAAGGACCTGGCACCAAGACCACTTCATTAAGCTGAAGTGGTCTGGGTGGCTAGAGTGGTCCTTTAAGAGTGTAGTGTGTGTGTGTGTGTATATATATATATATATATATATATATATATTTGGAAGTATTGTGTATGTGTGTGGTGCAGTGTGTTGGGGGGGTTCTGTGTGTATGTGAGGGGTGCAGTATGTGTGTGTGTGAGGGTGCGGTGTGTGTGTGAGGGGTGCGGTGTGTGTGATGAGTGCCGTGAGAGTGCCGTGTGGGAGTGCTGTGTGAGATGGGTGTGAGAGAGTGCTGTGTGAGAGAGTGCTGTGAGTGTGATGGGTGTGAGAGTGCTGTGTGTGTGTGTGAGAGTGCTGTGTGTGATGGGTGTGAGAGTGCTGTGTGAGAGAGTGCTGTGTGTGAGAGAGTGCTGTGAGAGAGTGCTGTGTGTGATGGGTGTGAGAGTGCTGTGTGCTGTGTGTGATGGGTGTGAGAGTGCTGTATAAATGTTATTGTGTGTGTGTGTAGGGGGGGTAAATAAAAAAATAAAAAAAACAGGCATTATTCCCCCCCCCCTTCTTACCTTTAGCCTGGAAGGGAGGGGGGGACCGGCACGCTGGGACTGGGAGGGGGGGTCCGGCACGCGGTGTTCCCTGGTGGTCCTCGTGGGTGAGTGAACTCTAGCCTGTGAGGCTAGAGTTCACTCGCGAGATCCGGTTGTTGCCATGGCAACGCGCCGGATGTCGCGAGAGGAACCCGGCGGAGCTGCAAGTTAGAGCTCCGCCGGGTCCTCTCTCCAGCCTGGCTGGCTGTCTCCCTCTCCCCGCCGGCGGCCGCATGTGGGCCGGTCAGGGAGATCCTTGATCTCCCCACCGGCCCTCCATGGCAAACAGCGGGGCCGGCGCTCGGATAGTGCCGGCCCTGCATAGACCGGCAGGGGAGATCCTGTGATCTCCCCTGCCGGCCTCGGCCCCACGGCCACCGCGGCCCACCGGGCATTTGCCCGGTGTGCCCGATGGCCAGTCCGGGCCTGATCACACCCCTTCAACAGACATAAAGCCAAGTGCAAACTCATATTCACAGATTAACAATTAAAGTAGCAAGGATTCTATGGATACGTGATACATGGTATCTTTTGGATATAAAGATTGTCAAAACTGATAAAGTATTTGTTGTACTGTTGTAATGTAACCATAATTATATCTTGAATATATATTTATCTGGCCTTTTTTTTACATTTTCATGCCTTACAGAACACAGCAGTACTGATAATTGCTATCACAATATTTTCTACTAACATTGGCAAATGTACCCCCAAACATTTAACAACCTTTATTTAAACCTCTTCCAGAGCACTGCATCAACAATGGATCAATATAACAAAAGGAGATATATACATTTATTTCCCCCTTCAGGCATATTTCTTTCTCAACATAAGCATGCATCAAGGGGCAGCCTTTGAAGATACAATTTCTGTCTAGAAAAAGTTCAACCTTTGTTAATATAACCAGAACGGGTTGCGCAACATCAATGTAACCTGGCAGCCAAGGAGTGTGGACTGGAATGCGCATTCATGAACAATGACAACTTCACTGTACTTCAGTGGAGACGCGAGACAGCATTGAGTGAGCATGTGTACTGAGTGGCTGTCGCATTCATAATGACTGAGTGAGAAGAGCCATGAATCTGCATCAAATTTTGCGTTAAGCTTGAACGTTCCTCCATGGAAACTATTCAGATGATTCAGAAGGAATGCACTAAATGATATTACATAATAGGTATAACATGGTGGGATGAGACACATGATTGGTCAGTTAACTTAAAAGGTTACACCTTATATAGGAAGGATAGTGGAATGTGACAAGGAAAATGTGAAAGCTTTATGGTTAGATCTCTGCTTCGGGAAGAAGGGTGTAGTGGACCCCGGGTAACCTGACCGGTTACCTCCGCTAATGCCTTCGTTCAGCCACTCAGGACAACAATCAGGCATCCATTTCCCCCCAGTAACTGGATTAGACACAGCTCTGGGAGTACAACACAACTAACTATTTATTCAGGGCCACACACAGCCTTTTACCCAAAAGCCCCGTACATGGGGTTTCCAACACAACATTACAGGGTCATTCCTCCCATGATCCTTGGTGCCTGAGAGAGAATTCAGTTCAGTCTTAGGTACAGAGAAATCCACTTATGCAAAAGACCCATGCGAGGGGCTTCCACTCCAACACCCCAGGGTAATCCTTCCCATGATCCTGATGGGAGATGGAGGAGAGACAAAGCAGCCAAACATTACAGGGTCATTCCTCCCATGATCCTCTGTACCTAAGAGAGAATTCAGTCCCCTCTCAGGTACAGAGAAATCCACTTATGCAAGAGTCCCATGCAAAAGGTTTCCAACCCAACACTCCATGGAAATCCAAGCCATGATCCTGATGGGAGATGGAAGAGGTACAAAGAAGCTAGTTTAAACTGGGCTGGCAGTGTCCCTAGGATAACACCCTGCTAGGACAGGAACAGGGGGAGGGAAGAGGCACAGACAAGCAAAACATTGTTAAATAGCCCTGACCTGAAAACAATAAGCAGGCAAGCATGTGGGCATGGTACTCCAAAGGGGAATCAAATTATGGTTGGGATATGTTATCAAAACACCTAGTATTGATATTGATAAGGTAGAACAGCTGTTAGAGCAAATTGGGAAAGCTGCACATCTGGGTAACACGTTAATTATTGAAGATTTTAATTACCCGGACATAAATTAGGAGAGAGGTACTAGTAGTTCAGCAAAGAAAATCAGGTTTTTTAACTTTTTAAATGACATCTTCACGTCACAACTGGTGCAAGCACCAACTAGAAAGGACACTTGTCCGGATCTGGTTATAACAAACAATGTTTTTCTTTTGACAAACATTTAAGCGGGGAAGCATTTGGGAAATAGTGATCACAATATGGTGTATTTTTAAAATAATCTTTAAAAAGAATTTGTACTTGGGGTATACTAAAACATATCTATTTAAAAAGGTACATTTCAATAAAATTAGGGTAGCTTTACAACTAATTGACTGGCAAACTCTTTAGTAAAAAAACACTGAGGATACATGGAACATCTACAAACAAATATTGAAAAATGCTCACTTCTCAGCATGTACTATTGGATAATATTTATAAAAGAAACTAATTTAAACTAATGTGACTTAGCGGGAAGGTAACAATGGGCCAATCAGTGTATTGCAAAAAATATATATATAAATATATATATTTATAAAAATATTTTACCAGGAAGGATACATTGAGATTTCTCTTGTCTTCAAGTATGTCCTGGGTCCACACATACACACATATAAAAATATAACAAATAATAGGTAAATAATAGGTAATACATATATTCAACCATGACAGTTGCATTCTGTGCTGAGATATATTGCCATATATCTCTTAAAGGATTTTAGATTGAATGAATATTTGACTGTGTCCCTGAGGTTATCCCATAATTGCGGTGTTCCGTAGGAAAATGAGCCACAATAATTTTTGTATTGCGGTATGCTAAATATCGTGCTAGTATGGGATCGGAGGTTATAGGAGGTACGAACAGTTGGGGAGAGCATTCTACTCAGGTAGGGTGGGAGCTTCCCAGAAAAGGTCTTATGCAAAAGGCTGAAAAGATAAAGAGTGCATCGGGATTCCAGCGACAGCCAGTTTAGCTCTTTTAACATGTCACAGTGGTGGGTTAAGTGATTACATTCTAGTACAAAGCGGCAGAACGAATTATACAATTTATAACGTTTATAAAGGTGGGTTTGCAATGCAGGTGCATGCACTACATCCCCATAATCAATGTCTAGCATTAGCATTTGTTGCACTATCTGTTTCATTACTGTAGGGCTTAGGCAGGATTTATTTCTGTACAGGGCACCTAGTTTTAGATAAAGTTTTGAAGATATTTTTTCAATATGAAGGCCAAAGGATAGATTGGGGTCTAGCAACATACCAAGATATTTGAAATAACAGACTGGGGTCAGGGTGTTATTTGAAATTGTTCTGATACATAGTTGTTGATTTTGTAGTTTATGTAATTTAGGTACAATTTCAAAGATCATTGTGACAGTTTTGTCAGTGTTTAGGAAGAGTTTGTTAACCGCAATCCACTTTTCTACCTCTGCGAACTGGTCTTGGAGCACAGTCTCAAGCTGCGGTAGATTGAGTTTACTAGCGTAGATTACAACGTCATCTGCTTACATGTGTGAAGTTGATGCTTTGCAGATGTTAGGTAGATCATTTATAAATAATGTGAATAGTAGGGGGCCTAGGGGAAAACCACACGTGACCGGGTGAGGGAGAGAAATGGTCACATATTGTGATCAGTCTGATACATCTAATTGAAACCAGGTTAACGGACGATCCCCAATACCTGACTTTAAGTTTTTGCAAAAGAATGTCATGGTCTACCGCGTCAAAGACCTTGGCAAAATCAAGGAAAATAGCTCCAGTTAAGTCTCCTTGTCCCATGCCAATTTGGATGTCATTGCAAACTTTTAAGAGGGCAGTCGTAGTTGGATAGTTGTAGTCGTAGGTATAATTTGATTGTTAATAATATTAACATTATTGCATGTGAACGCATTTTGCCAAGATTTTTGACAATACCGGGAGCAATGATATCGGACGATAATTAGATACTAAAGTACTGTCACCACTTTTATGGATAAGTACTACTTTTGCAGTCTTACAAAGTTTGGGTATGTATCCAGACACCATGGATTCATTGATTAGGGTGGTGATAGGTTTAGCAATTGCTGGAATACTGAGCTTCAACAACATTGCTGGGATTTGATCTGGTCCACACTGTTTTTTTAATTTTTAAATTAGTAAGATGTTTATTAATGACACTAACTAGGACAGGTCTAAAATTGAGTTTCTCTTTATGAGGATTTTGCAGATTTAGCAGAGCCTGGTCTGCATTTGTGGTCTGAAAATGAGTGCCATTCGTTATCTTAGCAATTAGGGTGGTAGCACATTCAACAACAAAAAATTATTAAAGGCATTTGCTACATCTAGTGTTGCAGGCTTTGGTTGTCCATTTTGACAGTGGAGGTTTGGAAGTGGATTGTGGGGGTTATGTTATTGTTCACATTTTCACTGAAATATTGGGCCTTTGCATTTTTGTTTGTTTTGTATATAGTATAAATATTTTCTGTATATATTTTACAGTACACTGATGGGCGCATTGTCCTACCATTTAGTTCACAGATCAAGTGAGAAAAAATAACCAACAGAGAGAAAAAGAGGAGGGGAAGTAAAATATATATATATATACCAAAAAGATGACAGCACTTGCTAGTTTGGTTAAAAAATCAAATATTGTGTATTTAAATTCACATGAAGTCAATCAACGTTTTGACCTAAACATGTTCTTATCAAGTTTAGGTAGAAACTTGGATTGACTTTAT